TGTGGTGGTTTCTCTTGTTGTGGAGCACAGGCTCTAGGCATGTGGGCTTCAGTAGTTGTGGCATGTGGGCTCAGTAGTTGTGGCTCTTGGGCTCTAGAGCGCAGGCTCAGTAGTTGTGGTGCATGGGCTTAGTTGCTCCATGGCATGTGGGATCTTCCCGGACCAGGGATCGAACCCATGACCCGTGCACTGGCAGGCGGATTCTTAACCACTGCGCCACCAGGGAAGTCCCCCACTTTTTGATCTTTGATGGTCAGCCTTGGAACTATCATGGTGCTGGTGGGTGTGTCACTTAGCATATGCTAATGTAGTGCAATGAGTGTATAATGAGGCTCAAGGTCCACTGGAAGTCAAATCTTCCGCCATCTTGGACCTAGTTGTTTCTAACTAGTTTTTGTCATGACCTATAGCTACGTCATCCTCTTAAAGGTTGTGCCCTGACCCCTTCCCTCCTGTTTCATTATTGCCATTGTTCTCTCTGTGAAGTGTGCAGCAAGGTCCTTGCTCAGAATGAATAAAAGTGAAGCTGTAAGGAAAGAGGGGTGGCAGTTTTCAAAAGCCATTGGGGAAAACTGGGGGCCGGGGCCAGCCATGGAGGCGTGTGAGGGAAGGTTCACGGCTCGGTGTTGACAAAGGTGGTGGAGCTGGTGGTGTGAATTCTGAGGAGGATGTGGGGGAGGACTGGAGGGTAACAGCCACTGGATTGGAAGGGCACCCCCTGTGTGGGGTGAAGCTGGGGGTCTGTCTGAGCCACTGCCCCTTGAGGGACCCAGATTTCTCCAGCTTCCTTTGCTCCCTGATAGGAACATGTTTATGAGAGAGGCCATAACCTTGTGGTGGTGACAAGGCTCAGAGTGGCACATGTTGAGGGGAGCTGGAACCACCGAGACCACTGGGACCCAGAAGCTAGAGGGTCAGGAAAGAGAGGGAGTCTCACAGAAAAATAGCTGAGAAAAATGAAGACCAGAAAAGGTAAAGAGAGTGGCAGAGGAGGGACTCTTAACAGTTCGTCCATTCCTCATCCAGGTTATTTCCATGGCTCCCAGGCAGGGAGGTGGGAAGGGAGACATCTAAGAGGAGATTAATCTCCTCTTGGAGCCACTAACCTTGTGAGGGATAGGCTCTTGGATGTGCTCCTGGGAGACTGGGCAAGACATTTAATTACCACCTCCCTAACTCCCCAGGCAAAGACTTTTTTCCTGGCATCTCAGGATGAAACAGGAGGGAAGGGGGCAGGGCACAACTTTTGAAAGAATGACATAGCCCGAGGACATGACATAAACTGATTAGAACCAAATGGGTCCAAGATAGTGGACAAGTGGCAGACTTCCACTAGCTCTTGAGCCTCAGTATATGGTCACTGTGACACATCAGCAAGCTAAATGACACACCCACAGGCTCCATGACAGTTCTAAGGTGACCATAAGGATCAAAAAGTGGGCGGTGGCCCAATTCCTGGAAATCCCCGCCCCTTCCCCAAAGAGCTGGAATACTCCTCCCATTCATTAGCCTATGAAATTACCCACCCCTATAAGAACTGACAACCCCATACCCTGGTGCCTTTCTCGCCTTCTGAGATGGCCCACACTCTGCCTGTGGAGTGTGTTTCTGTCTAGATAAATCCACTTCTTACCTATCACTTTGCCTCTCACTGAATTCCTACTGTGCTGAGACACAAAGAACCTGAGCCTCAGTAAGTCTAGACACCAGGTGAGTAATTCTAATTAAAAGACTGTGGGGGCTTCCCTGGTGGCGCAGTGGTTGAGAGTCCGCCTGCCGATGCAGGAGACACGGGTTCGTGCCCCGGTCCAGGAAGATCCCACATGCCGTGGAGCGGCTGGGCCCGGGAGCCATGGCCGCTGAGCCTGCGCGTCCAGGGCCTGTGCTCCGCAATGGGAGAGGCCACAACAGGGAGAGGCCCGCGTACCGCCAAAAAAAAAAAAAGACCGTGGGTTCGAGTCCCAAGCAGAGTTTTGGCCAGGTTTGAGTCCCAGCACATGGGTTCAAGTCCCAATCAGAGTTACACGGTTTCAGTTGAGGGCTGGTGACGTATGTGGAGGAAGGATCTCCTGAGGAAGGGGGTAGTGGTGAGGAAATGGACCACTGATGCAGGGATAGCATTTGCAGGCAAAGCAGCTGCTCATACTTGCCAGCTTCACAAAGAAGCTGAGGTTAAGAGTTTCAAAACAAGTTCATTGCCAGTAAAAAAAAAGAAAAAAAAATTAATCAAGACTTCAGCTCAGCAACTGCTCAGCAGCAACTCTGTCTCCCCAACTCCATACCCTACACTAGATTTGTCTTAGAATTCACCTACAACACCTCCTAGATGCCTGGCCTTCATTCTCCTAGCCAGTCACCATCTGGTTCCCAGGGTGAAATTCAATATCCAAACCCGGAGCAACAGCCTCCGGTCCTGGTGGTAGATATCAGAGCCTCAAGGAAAAGCCGGCCACCACAACGTTCTCCCCAGTGATGTAGCTGGTGTCTGGAGAGCACAGGAAGGACAGAGTCCCCACAGTCCTCTGGCTGCCCTGCCCTGCATGGAAGGGGGACAGAACTGCAGTCTCGGTGCATGTGCTAATGAACTCTGATCTCTGTCTCCCTGCTGACCTGGCTGGAGGGCCCAGCATACCTCCATCCCTGTTTCCCACCTCCCAGGCTCCTCCTGTCCTCCAGCTCCCGGCTCCCAGGCTGTGCAACCCCAGACTCATTGAGAGGAATTTCTGATAAGCCAGGATGCAATCAGAGTCCTGTCTCCTCTGGGGACCCCGCCTACCTCTGCGATCCACAGAGATTTTTAAAAGAGTTTTGCACAGCCAGATTATATTCAACCTGAAAAAATTCAGAGAGTCAGTGCTCGATAGGATTGTGAAGGGCAAAAGAGTGGCTGCTCTTGGCAGATGTGTGCCTTTTGGCAAAGATGACCCTGCTTAGGGCCATGACTGGGGATTCCACTGGATCTTCTCACAGAAGCCAGAGCCCTGATTCTGCTACAGAGAAGTGAGAGGCTGCTTTTCTCAGAGCCCTGAGCGGCTTGCCCAGCCGGGGAAAGCACGGGGTGGTTGGCGTGGCAACTGCTGGCAGCTGCTGAATCCTCACCACTTGGCTGAGGTCAGTCTTGACAAGTCCTGGAGACACACCATGCACTCGGATGCCCTTATGGGGCCAGCTCCACAGCCAAGGACTTGGTAAGTCCCAGTGGGGCAGTTTGCTGGCGGTACTGGTCCAGCAACTAAGAAGGAAAAAGAAACAGTAAAAGTACCCTGCCAGTGAGGGGAGGAGCTCTTGCTGGACCTTCAGGGCTGTGGAGGATAAACCTGCTCTCCCTTAGACCCAACTCAGACGCGCCTCCCACTCCACCCCGGGAATTACCAAGGAACAAAATTGAAGCAGGAGCAGGATGAAGCCCGGGCTTAAAGAAAGTTCAGGAAGGCAGAGGCTATGTTGGTCTATGCTCAACCCAGAGAGAAAAGCTTAAGTGCAAGGTCAGGGAATGGGACTGAAGAGACCCAAGGCCAGACCCCTGCTGTACCATGACTTGGTCGACCTTGGGCAAATCACTTAAGATCTGTAGGTCTCAATTTCCTCATCTGCTATGTGGTTTATAAGCGCTGCCTG